ACGGGACCGAACTTAACTGAACAAATAATATTAATAATAATAATAATTTTATTTGTATCTAGTAACAAAAAAATATAATTGTAAACAATATGTGAGAAATATTACTAGAAATTACCCTGAGAAAGAACCTCGTATCGTAGAGTAAGAGTATTTATTATTTAGTGCCAAACACAGTGGATAAATAATAATAATAATAAAAAGTAAAGACAATCAGAAACACCCAAACAGGGTTCAGCTAAAAATAGTTAAATATAATAAAAAAATTGTAAATGGTAAAATATATAATAAAAAAAATGCTCAAGCGTTTGTTTACCGAACGGATCGAACGTAGATCTGTTTAACGCGAACGGACGAACGAATCCGTCAAGTGCTTTTCTTAGATAACTAAAAATGTATCTAGATAAAGGTAAAAGATAACAAATTTTTTATTTTATTAATTAATTTACATTTTATTTTTATACATTTTTACTAAACAAATAAAATGTAATTAAAATTAATTTAACTGATCTAATAGGTATCTCCCTCAAATATAAATAATTAAGAAAAAATATTTATATTTTAAACATTTATGTATGGGAATAAGTAATAAATAAAAAATACTTATCTTTAAAAAAAATAATACATTCATTGTAGGAATATTATAATTTTATAAGCAAATTCATTACAGTTTATGTAATACTTATTATGGGACAATAATTATTGTTAAAATATTATAAAGGTAATCCAACTATTATCAATATTATTTAATTCTCTTTCTTAGGAATCAAATATTGTAGGGACACAACTTACAAAATAACAGTAATTAATTATCAAATTAATATATTAATAACATCAATAAAGTTTTCATTTATTTTAAATGTTATTAATTTTTAACTTTCAAGTTCAATTTTTCGATTTTTTTCAATGATTATACTCGTATTTATCGCCTAGAAGACAAGATAAAAGATAATTAAATATCTGTCTAGATCATTTATTTAGATTATTTATACAGGAAATGCTCCACACTGTTCTCAGAGCGTCCGACGGTTGTCGATCAGAACCGTGTATTTGTACCGAACGCGCAGATTCGCTGCACCGTGCACAAGACGGAGGCGAAACGTACCTACGTGGACGCGGAGTGCTCTTAATCCTGTTCCGCGTTAAGCTATGTAACCACCTCGGAGCAAATTAAAATATGCCGCCCTTAAGAAAATTACAATTCAAAATAATAAATAATATACATAATAGAAATAATATACAGTTATACAGTCGTACAAGAAAAATTATGATTGCATATGTTTTATGTTGATCCTCGAAAATTTGTCGCCCCGTCAAACATAAATTTTGCCGCCCTGGGGCAATCGACATCTCCCTTAGCCCTCCGTTAAACGCGACTCTGTCACAACCGGTTGATTCCGTTTTGACAATCGCTTTCTTCTCCGTCGCTTTTGTCCTTTGTCCTTTTATCGGCGTACGCAACAACGTGCGTGTACGCTGTTTGCGGAGCACAAACGATCGTTTGTATCATTATCGCGCCGAGACCGGCGGGCGACGATGACGTTTCGTGTTTCGTCGGAGTATTGTGATTTTATCGAATCGCTGGACTTTGACGTGTAACGGGTGACCGGTACGCAATTTCCGATCCGTTCTCAACGCGCGTATTCGGAACACGGTCGGATAACATTAATAACACCTGGCAGCCGTTCGGACGGTGTTATGAAAAAAAAAAAAAAAAAAAAAAAACGAGTTTACACATTTATTTTTTCAAAACCGTACTGAAATATTGTAATGATTCAACGATAATTAAAAATTATGATGGTAAACTACGAGATCAACTAATTCTTATAAAAACCTGTAGTTTATCCGCGGAATAACTTTATTAATCAGTTTCATATAGTTGTATCATTTTTTTTTTTTTTGTAATTATTCGTAACAAAATATTTTAACGAGTAATGGGTTCTAGGTGAAAATATAATAAACAATTTTTTTTGTCGAATAACGGATGATCAAAAATGCCATTATATGATTGTTACATAACTGTATTAAGTGAACTTTTGCTTAAACAACCAAAACCAAGATAGTTGCAATTGAAAGAAAACCATTTTCCTTATAAAATACCTATTTAAGCAAAAACAAGAGAAGAACTCCGAGAAGAAGATATCAGCTGTGCCATTCGAAAGATAAAACACGGAAGGATACGAGTTGTCCAGGACAGCTCAGTCTTTGCATTTAACCATATTTTAAAAATGTTCAAGCAATGCTCCAATGATTCAATTATATATATATATATATATATATTATAAAATAAGTAATTAATAAATAAGTACCTAGTGATGTTTATGAGAATATATAATAATAAAGTCTTTGATGTAATTAGTGTCATAAAAATAAAAGTTGAATTACAATTAACGTTATCATGTTCTTAAGTCATATAAATGTTGTTTTTGATTTCTTAAACTGGAATCTTTTATATTGTTTGATTATTATTATTGTTTTATAATACCTAAGTATTTTACATTCGTTAAATTCTTTGAGTATGAACGAACATACGTAACTATGTTTTTTATGACGGAAGGTCGCGCCAAACAGCGTTCACATTAAAAACAATGTTGTGGCGCGAATGACGCAAATTTGCGTCGTGAAAAAAAAAATTTCAACCAGGAAATATGCATACGAAAATGATTCGCAGTTAGTTATGTGTTATTAGCCATTTGAAATGCAACCGCTCTGTAATGGACTTTAATATTCAAATTTACAAAAATGTAAAGTATAAATGTTTATGGTAAATTCAGAAAAAAAATAAATAAATAATAACCGGATTACGATGAAGTTATAGCAAGATTACTTAAATTTTATAAACTAATCGAGAATATAGATTTGACGACATTTTATTATATTTTCTTGACGCTTAAGGAATCCATGAACAAGGTATTAAACTCGAGGTGTGTCGATATAAATATTAATTAATATTGAAGGATATTTACAAAATCGATAGAAAACTCGAAGACCTAATGAGATATAAACTTTGCGTTTACTTTTTAGGATACGCGGAAAAGCGTTAAGTTATAAAATAACGGGATCACGTGGCTCAGCCGTGATAGATAATTATACAATAGCTTTTCGAACTAAACTAATAAGTAATTTATTACGTCTTGCAGGTATTGTAATATTTTCTTAAGTAATTCTTAGACTGAAATGCCTTGACATTTAAAGTAATTAATTAGTGTTTCATATGAAAGCTCATTAAACAAATGGAATTTAGTTTTGAAATGTTTTTTTTTTATTTTACTATATTATAATATTATGTAATATTACATTTTAATTTGGTCATGTTGGAGTTGTTCTTCGAAATTTGATTCTTCTCGGCAAATTATTATTATTAATTGAATATTGAAATCAAATTCAGTCGGTTCGCCGATCAACGTATGTCCACAATATGATCGATAAGATAGTCTTCTGCATTATCCATTTCCACTTAGATGCACTGCGATTAATTCGATGATAATCGTTACAGTGCATAATGAGAATCGAAGTTAATGGCAGGACAACATATTTGAGATCAACGATACAAAAAACGTAAAAGTACAAAAGTGTATAACGTAAAACATTCCGCAGTTGTTCGTTGCGTAGTTCTAAACTAATTATTAAAATACCTCTGTAACAATATTTGAATGCGTTTTTTATTCGTATAGCCATAATGCAACAAACTATTGACTACAAAGGAATATCGTATACGAACTCATATGTCCATAGACTGTTGCGTGACAAGACTCAGTCTTTAAATAACTCGTTATAAATTAAGCTATTATTCTTAAACAAAAAACATACAGTTAAAAATTATTTTAAATAATTAAAGTAAGTTCTGTTTTAAATACATTTAATTTAAATCATTATTTTTCCAATTAAATTATTTTGATTTTCAAAAATAAATAACCAAAATGAAAATGTTTTGGACCATTTCATTTATTATTCTTTTGTTGTATTGTACTTAATTGTAATAATTGAATGTTCATTGATAAATTTATAAAAATAAAAATTGGAGGTAAAAATTATTAAAAAACTAATTGAAAAAACAATGAAAACTTTGATTATATACTATATATTATAATATAATAGCAATTAATACATTCTCAAAATGTATCAAAGTATTTCTTCTTTTAAAATGTTACACATTATAGACTTTTGTGTTTGGTCATTTATACGTTTTATTAATTGCAATTAATATTACATATTATATTAAAGTGGTCATGCTTTGAAAATTTATCTATCTTAAGTATATTATTTTAATTGCTATAATAGTTTTAATTACCAGTTTTTATGGAAATTCGTTTCTTCTGGGTATTAATTCAGTGCAAATAATGTGAACTTTGAATACGCATCTGTTCCAATGAATAAATAGGAGTTTAATTCTTTTGAAGTTTCCATAATACCCGCAGTATACTCTGAGCAATCTAAGTTGATACAATTTACATATTTGTTTAATCCCTCTTCTATGGGTATGAACCCATTAGAAATATTCATTATAGCTGTTGAATTTTGAAATTTTTTATTCATTGTACAGTTTGAGCAAGTTTTTGTTTTATACGCCGAAGGCGCATTAATCAAATATTTTGAAATTCAATTTTTTCAAGTTGTTAATATGATGTAAAAATGTACATAGATAGGAAAATTTTGACACCTATAAGAACTTTGCTTCCTAGTTTTAAAATGTCAATTTTAGATATTCTGAGGTCCTCCTATAACGGACATAGTAATAAATGAAGGCCACATATAGTCAAAATTTTCAATTTTATACATCGATAGTAATAAAAATTGTCTGCAGACCCTTGACATTTTATTTTAAAATGTTCTGCGATAATTTATAAAAATTATAGGTATTAGGAGTGCAAATTAAGCAGTTTTGAAACTTTAACTATGCAATATAAAACTATAAAATAAACATTTTTTATTCGATAGACATGAATTCAGATTCTTAACGTTTGTGTAACTAGTATTGAAAAACATGTGCACATATTTTACAGGTGAAATCTCGTAGCTGAAGTAAACCGTACCGGAGAAAATGGGAAACAATTATAGAATGTTGTAAACATGATTCAAAAAACGACGAATCCGTGATTTAATGGCATTCACCGCGACTAAATCATCGTTACCGCATGGCGTCTAATAAGCAAGTACGCTGCGTTTCGTTGGCCATCGGAACTACTCACGGGTAAGATATATATTTTATAGAAAAAATTTTAAAAAACGCGTTTTGCCATGTTCACGATCAGGGTTTGCTTGCCACAAATGTTTGCTACTCCAAAACATTTATGAAACAGTCGTGGTTTTAACAATACATATTCATGTCGACGACGCGTCCGGAACTATTGAGGTCTTAGAGTGGTAAACAACTTGTGGAGACTAGAGTTAGACATATAGACGCCCGAGCAGTTCTCCGTGTACCCGTGTCAATAATCGATTATGCATAAGCAACTGTAACAAACGCGTGCGACGAATATATAATACGAGCAAGTTAATGTTTATGATGATCTGTATCGAGGGCATGGTGGCCGGTCGGAATAGGGCGGCTGCATGCAAACGCACACTCGACGGTACGAAACCGAAAATAAAAAATACGATTTTTCTCGGACACTACCTGTAGTTATGGTAGAACGCCGACAAGGTGTAAATACTGATAGTCAATAAAATTGTTTAAAAATTAAATTCAGAAATGTGTAACGTTGTTGACGCGAGCGGTAATTTTGATCGAACAGTTGATAGTCCCACTGAACTTTTCGGATAAGTGTTTAAGGAGACGTTTTTCAATCGCAGTGAGCAAAAGGGGAGGAAACCAAATCCTCTGCACTACCCCCACCCCATTCACTTAAAGCCCTAAAGCTATCCGTCAACACTTTTCTACCGACGGCGTAACAGGGGGCTGTGACGTAACACACGGCTTACGATTTTCATTTCACAAGGCGATCACTGTAGCACCACGGTCACCGTGATGACTTGAAACCGCATGTTCGACGGAGGGAACGTAATCTGCTTAATCCGTAATCTGTTTGAGTTTTGACTAAACGATGACAGCGTGAAACATTGATCCACACGTCGATCAACCATCTGACTTTTTCAGCCAATTTGTACTCAATTTGTACTCAGTCTCAAAACTGGTCCCCGAGTTTTCACTTAACCTCCTATTACTCAGGAAGTATTTTTTCATTAGAGAAATTTCTCTAATCTCCTTCACCAAAGAAAATATTGACTTTTCCATAGATTTGCTAATATGGTAAATGTTCTATCATATATTTTATTTGCTAACTATTAACGCGACTTCGAAAAAAATTGACATATCACAGAAAAATTGTTGACTTTTTTTATTTTATTTTTTTTTAATTTGAAGAGGAAAATTTGTACTGGCCGTAATGGCTCCGATTTTCAAAATTGAAATTAGAAATTGTGTAAGTTTAAAACAGTTTTTTAACAAACCAAAGTTTGGTCTCATAAAATTACTAATACGTTTTGAAAGGGTACCCGTTTTGGAGGAACAAAAAAATGTCCATAAAAGTGACTTCGGCAGTAGTTAATTTCGAATTCAGATTTCAAACACATGACTCACATAACTATTCTTGTACACCGTTTATTTTTATAAACAATAACAAAACACGTGCAGTTAAGTGCGTTTACGATCATTTCAACTAGGTTAAATTTGTATATATTTTTCTTTCCGGTCGGAGTGTTGAAGTACTTGATTATTTGAAATAAAAAAAAAATAAATATTCTAAGTAGAATTCAATTCATCTATTGAGTACTTTACGAGTCGCAACGTTTTGTTTGTAGCAAAAAAAGAAAAGTTCGACCGTTATAAAATCGCATTGAAAATATTTAGAGTATATGGATTGTTTTTTATGGTTTATATAGTCATATATGAAGTTTAACATAAAAGTAACGAAGCTTCATAAATATTGAAATACGATTAGGAAGCACTTATCTAAGAATGTCGTATAACACTTATAGTATTGTTGAAATCAGTTAACTTTCTTATATTTATTAGCCTTGTTATTAGTGTGCGTTCGACTATATTAACGGAAAAATGTTTGATTTAAAAATCGAACAACGTGTTAAATTCAGAGCTTTAAATCGAAATAAAACATTTGATTTTAATTTAATTTTTGATTATTGATATTAGTTTTTTTTAATTTAGATTTTGGTTTCAAATATTGATATTTATTTTTTGCAATTTAATTTTTTTATTTTGAATATCGATATTAATTTTTTTAAATTTCGGTTTCAGAAACAGGAACTTTTTTTTTTCGATTTCGGGTTCATAACAGTGTTGTAGGTTGTAGCGACTGCAAAAGTACAACTATTTTAAGTTATTTAATTGTATATTATTGGTTGAAAGTATAACTCACGGGTGATAGCCAATAGAGTATTATAAATTTATATCTTATCCATAATAATACACTACAAAATGTTTTTATATAGTATATTATACGGAATAAATCGTGTGTATAAAAACAACAATCGCTATCGCTCGTCGAACACTGATTCCTTGTAAGAGATGTTAAGTTCGTGAACGAATAGTTAATTTGAACTATTCACTTTGATGAACTATTTTGAACTGTTTCAGTACCTGTAACTTAACAGTTCACAGTTCGAAAAAAATTCATAGCATTGTATAAACGAAATAGTTCGAGAACTTCCTTAAAAATTCTCTGAGGTTCGTTGTTCAAAATCCTTTAAATGATAAACAGCCGTTTACAATTAGATAAGATATACTTAATTACCCATAAGTAGTGTGAACTATTACTGAACAGTGTACTGCTGTACTAATGGTGATAAAACGAATAGTTCATTGCCAAACAATATCAGTATGATCAATAAAATTAGTGAACTACGTGACCATAAGAATAGTTCATTTGAACTATTCACTTGGATGAACTGTGAACTAATGAACTATTCACAGAATTAAACTTTCCATCTCTATTCCTTAATGTAAATATTCTAAGAAAACAAAATAAGTACTAGTTATCTATTATTATGTGTAATCAATATTATTACCAAATATGGCAACATCTACGAATTTACAATATAAATAGACCTGTTAGCTGTTGAATTTTAAATTCATTTGATTTCAAATCGATTTAATTATTAAAATAATTTTAATTTTGATATAAAATATCGATTTTTAACTTTTTTTAATTTCAATATACATTTTAAAAATCATTAACAACCATTAACAATTTTGATATTGATTTTGATTTTCTAAAAGATTTTTAACGATTTTTACTGATATTTGAAATCGATTTCAAGCTCTGGTTAAATTAAAATTTCTCTTTAAATTAAAAATAAAAAATTGCCGTGGAATCGTTTTGGATGTTAAGTGAAGTTTATAGTGAAGAATGCTTATCAAAGACTAGCGTTTTTCGAAGGGCACTAAAGGTTTTTGTAGTGGAAGAAATGATGTGGAAAACGATCATCCTTTGCCAATTAAATAAAAATACGACATTCTACAGAAAAAATAAAATAAAAATAAAACAAAAATAACGCCTTGTCTATAAACATCGCATCAACAAGTGAAGTAGGTATAAAATCTGGTCGGGTGATTTCAACGAGACACAAATACTCTAAAACAATATATTCGTAATATTATAATAATATGTTAGCAACCGTTTATCTATTTTTCTATAGCTTTAATATCTCAAAAAAATTTCACGCAGTAATATAAAGTACATCATAAATGGTAGATCATTTGTTATTCGTTAAACGTATAGGTATAATACTTTTTACCGAATTATTTTTTAACCGATATACCATTTAATTGAAATCCTATAACAGTTATAGAATTTCAGTTGCTGACGACCTACACTTTCACAATGCGTTCGGTTCGTTAATGCCGACTATCCATACCAACACCGTGTTCGGTATCTTACTGGTACATTTTTATTTCGAGAAAAAAACACATAAGAATACTGCATTTTTTAGATGTTCAAGACCGTGTCAGCCGTTGTTAAATACATACATTTTAAATTAATTATGAATCCCGTGGAAGGATCCGGGTAACGTGTTATCTTAAATGCGTGCCCTTCGAAATTCACCCCTTCACAACCTCCTTATATTGATCTGGATCCATCTCTCCGATAATGTTAGTGTACACGTTTTGTTCGTTTTTCAACACGAATCGTGAACGATTTTAATTTTTCGCTGGTTACGAACACGAGTCGGTTTGTTACGTATGTGGTGTGAAAATTAGCAAGGTAAGTTAGGGTGACCATACATCCTGTTTTAAAAATAGGATTATCCTGTTTTTCAGTTTGATGTTCTGTTTTTTTCAATGGGAATTAAACAGGACGCATTTATTCACGTATTTTACTATTTTTTCATCAAAAATTGATTTTAGTGATTAATTGATAGTCATCAATAATAAACTGCTTTAGATATTTTTATCTATAAAATTCAGTCACATTGAGATGTTTATTTTTAGTGTGGGCATTTATGTTCCCTGAAATTACAACGACGTCGATATTCATAATATATCATTATTTTAACTTGATATAATAAATATTAATAACATTTACAACACTAGAACGTTAATTATTTTTAAACTATAAATTTTGTTATTTTCATATATATTATAATTATTATGTATACATATATATTAATTTTATAAGTTCCTTGTTTTAATGACAATCAATATTTTTTTTTACAATGGTTAGCCTACGGTAAGTGTCTTTCCATATACGTTCGCGCGACGTTTAGACGTCGAATGAATTTAATCTCGTGACATTTTCACAATGATAAGTTAAATTAACTTAACTTTTAACTTATTAACTCGTTTATGCCCAGGCTTGCATTTTTTTTCACCCGCGGTATTCGCTTCAAGTTCTGCGTACGTAGACATCGTGCATAATGAACAAAAAATAAAAAAATATACTATCCGATTAACTTTACAACTTTAAAGCCGAACGGGACCGTCAATGTTTGTGTTGTACAGTTCGGTTTTCAAATAATAATAAATAACCATTTCTGCATACGTCCGAGTAATAATTTTTCAAACAACAAACATTGATTTTCTTCTACGATTCAAAAATATGCACAACGTTTTACGCGATCGCAGGACGTCGGGTGAGCTTTTTAAGGGCGTACTGTTCTTATAAAAACGTTGGGCATAAATTATTATCGTTCTTCCAGAAACATTTTTACCGAAATACACGTTGAAATTTCATT